TAAAGCTAATTAATCTTCACCTTATTGACGAATACAGAAAACTTACATCTCCTTACAATTATAATAGATATCACCAGTACCATCACTTTTTCAGGTTCTGAATGAGAATTTAGCAAGACAAAAGTTCAAATACTCAAGCAACACACATGTTCTGTAACAGTTTGTATAACCTCTGTATGACTGATTTTGGTTGTATAGCAGTTTACTCAACATAATTCAATGAATTTGCGTTACTTGGGAGTTTTGTCTTAAGTTATAGACGTTTGGTGTATTATTGTGACGTTTTAAAAGGTTTTTTTTTAGAATGAACAGGCGAACGAAGTCTACATTTATGTTTCCCATACTTACATTATGTATCAAAATTCCTTCAAATTTTGCACAGCTGTTGTCATAGTTGGGGAACTAAATAAAAATCGAAAGTGCAGTGGCGAGTCAAGGGTTGTAAATTTGATCCACCGTAGAATTCATGTCTTGAGTGTATAATAAAAAAGGAACACTATGGCAGCTTATGCCGATGATTATGTTCACTCTTTTTACCGGCCGTAGAATCTAGCTCAAACTCAGTTTTAGCAAATGCTATTCATATTAGACAATATTTTGCTCGTATATGAGAAACATTTACTCAAATTCAAGCAATTTTTTCTCAGTGTATGACTGTCGTGATTTTAATAAAGTGGGTAAACGGACCGCAAATGTGAATCAAATTCCAAGGTCATGCATGTAGTTCATGCATGTAGGGGAGAAGTTTAAAGTGTGTCTACGGTCTATAATATTGTTTTGGACTATTATTGTTCACATCAGAGAGGTCTGAAATCAGTCAACAAAAACTGTCCACTTGGCTTCCACCAAAAGTCTATATGTTTGTTTGTATTTGTTGGCATAAAATTCACTTATTCCATAACCCTGGGTTTGGCACAACACTTACGAGATGAACTAGCCTACGGCTAAAAATCTCAAACATAAAGTTGATAAAAAATTGCAAAACCTTGAGGTAGTACACCGTAATACCAGGTTCCAGGGCTGATCTGGATCTTTAGCACATTGGAAATATGCACACTAATGTTGCCAGATCATTGATGATGCTTACCAAAAGTGCATTTGATCCCGATTGTAAAAGCATATTAACAGATTAATCATCACCGTATTTTTTGTTTGTTCTGAACTAATAATGCATGACTAAGCACAGCATTTGATTTTTTAGTTAGGAATGCTGGATTTAGTCACAGTAGTAATCATCTGTTTTTATTTCATCAATCTTTTATTGAGTTTGATTTATTTCTATCGGTATGCACGTTTGGAAAGTATCATCACAAAGTTTCTGCACTCGATTAACAGTTTTTGGGTGGGAAGCGTTGTTCTATTCTATAGAGTCAATTCGTAGAAATACGAAGCGAAAGACGAATCAAGCACTAAGTACAAGACCTTCAAGAAAACTAACAACATGAAATCTGGAAATGGCAATGTTTTATTCAAAACGTCAAGTATTTCAAGCATATCGGGTGAGCTCAATCTAATATTTTTTTAATCTTATTTTTGTATAGTACGATATTCAATTGAACCGCTCCGCTATATGATCTTTTAAGTATTTTCCTAAATTTTGAGATACAAAGGTTTATAAATTATGGATTTTTTTTTTCTTTTTTGCATTCAGTGCTTAGAATCCAGAAAACCGCCAAAATCCGGAACTCGCGTAAAAAAAATAGGATAAATACATTATGAAAAATAATTTAATTGTGAAGCTAATTTCTACCAATAGGCAGGATTTTCCATGACTTTACATAAAAATTGGCAAGCGGCTCAGAAAGCTGAGGTAAATGTCAACAATAAAGTGTTAATTTTTCAATTACAGTCTATTTAACGTTCGGTCGCAAGTGCAACAAGAATAACAAGATCTCGTGATAAATTTTCGTGATTTAGAATGCACCAAACGTATTTATTTGTACACACGGAAGCGCAACACACGAGCACATTCCGTTGTGAAGCTACAGAAAGCATAAAAGTATCGTGGAAAGTATTATGGGAAGTGGAAAGAAAAAATCACTGTCCACACAGCTCTGTGAATGCGGTAGCTGATAAAATTTTATATATCTGTGTTTACTACCAAATATTGACAACTGTCGGTATCAATCAATCACTCTTTTTAATTAAATTATTGTTGTATTTGAATTTGCAATCAAAAACTTGGCTCGGGTAGTGTGTATACTAGGCAACGGATGGAAGAAGAAGTGAGTCGAACGAGTTGAGTGATGATTTATAGGTGATGATACTTGGCGTGCTATGTGAGTTTTTTTTCCTTCACTAGCGTCTAGTTGAATCGAATAATTGAGCATCTAATGAAAAGCTATTCTTCATGCCACTCTAATGCCGGTTCCATTCATTCGTCAAACATTTCGAAACGGTTGCTGGTTATCAGTTGTTTATTGACAACGGATGGCACAAATCGGTCGCACCCGTTCACGTACTGTCACACACCAATGATCTGTAAATCTTCTAGGGAATTACTTGTCGATGCTAGCGTACAGGTTAAGTCCAGGTATTGAGTTGATTTGAGCTATAAATAATATGGGACGATTATTCTACACTTCGCTAGGACGACGGTCAGTTTCGTCAATAAGAGGCGCGCCGTCGGTCGGTGCGAATGGTGAAAGTTCTTCTTGATGACAGACCCGGAAGTTGCTCGTCGCAGATGCACGTAATTTATTTACCCGAGGCCATAATCAGTGGATTAGGGCTAACCTATTTACTAATGTTGTTCTATATTAAAAGACAAAAGATGCTTATAAATTTGCTGGTCGTGTCAGTAAAGTCACATGAATTCAGAATTGCTTTAAAGTGGTTTCAATAGACGACATTTCAAGGTCAAAACATGGTTGATTACGAAAGAATTTTCTTTTCCAGGCAGACATCAGATCAGATACGATTTTATGGCACAATTTAAATTAAGTATCGTCACCAGAATCACTAACCAACCCATTCGTACGTCATTGCGACGCGATAGGATTACTGGTTATCGTCACGACCAAAGTCGTTTCGTCCCCCACGGAAAACCCTTATGCAGCACATTTTCCTGGCAGAACCAGAAAGCGGGGGAGTAACTGTTTTTAATTTTCCGAGTCAGTCCCTCCGAAACATTAAACACACACGGCAGCAAAATTTTGCCGTCGACTGGTCACATCCCAGCCGGTGATCCAATCTCGGTTCTGAAACACGGCAGGCCACTGGCTGTTTGGTAGATAAATATATTTATTTAATCTGAATAAATATTGTAATATGTACATTATAGGCATTAAGATTCATTAAAAATAGCCAAGGGTAGCAAAAACCTGACAAAGCTTAACGATTGCGCCTGACCAACCGTGTTTGGTGATGCCACGGAAAAGGGGACGCATTTGCTGGAGAATAGCAAACAGCTAAAACGGCCTCTAATTGAGCGGAGTGATTTAGAGCGTCCCCTTCTTCCGCATGATAGCAATGTAGGTACTAACGGATGATGGACTGGAGTCAGGGCGGAAAAGCAGGTAAAGAAGACAGGTTAGAATTACAACGCACTAAGAAAATCGAATAAAGGATTCTTTCGCACCCACGAGTTTAACAAGGGTTTCACAGCAATCGTAGGCGGAAATTAACTGAAATTCAAATCCGCTGCTATTCTCTGTGTCCAGTCTGGAAACATCGTGTGGTGCTGTGAAAGCCTGGGATCTCCCGAAAGAGATATTGAAAGTGTGGGAGACTATTTCAAGAGGAATATTTCAAAAGGCCTATATGAATATAAAACGCGTTAGTTGCATGCTTTCTGTTTCCATCGATAGCGTAATACATTGTCTACCGAGCTATGTTTACAACGCTATTGGCAAAAAAGGGTTTGTTGGTTCATGGGTCTTTTTGAAAAATTACTCGAGATTTCTTCCACTACATCCGCAATTGAGATATTATCATGTTCGGCTGATCTTTAATTTAAATTCCAATCGGATGGCTTTGTAATTGCTGTCGGAGCATTATTTTAACACCTGCCCGGTTGCATAAATTAAACTTTGAAAACATTTTGACAGCTGAATAATTGTGAATATCAGTATTATGAGCAAAGTCTAGAGATTGACGTAAAACATCATCACAACTTGACTCTATATGAGTATCTGATCTTGTTGCAATAAATTTATATTTTTTTATTTTCTTACAGTTTCAGTTTCTGGCGGGCAACCCAAACGTCTGCATGGTTAGTACCTCTCATTCAACAACGGTGTAGTTGACAACAGACGCATAGTTTCAGTTACCACAATATCGAAGATGAAGGAGTCAAATTCTGGAATGCTTCAAATTAAATGCAAAATCTGTGAAAATTACTAAGAATATTATCTAAAAAAAATACTCGAACGAACCGGGAATCGAACTCATTCGACCGCATGGTGCGTTTTAAGACCGGTCGTTTCATGCTTACGGGTAATCGGGAGCGCTAGAAAATCCAGAATCTTTAACTACAAACTAACGGCATCATGCCAACCATCAGGCTAACTTGTTTTTAAATCTACAGTTGATTACACCTAAATTGATGCTAAGAATATAATTTTCTAGAGCATCACCCTTAGAGATTTCAAGCATAACAAATGAGGAAGGGTGCCAAACACAAGTACAATAACAAAACACCCGCAAACTGGGCAAAAATCACAACCGGGCAAGCAATTTAAGATTTATCATATAATGTGTTTAGTGCACATTTGATCCATTTAGATAGCATATTTATTCCATCCCGAAAAAAGGGGTGCATAATCCTATTATCTTTTGCCACAGGCGAGAGAGATCGCACCAGTACGATATGGTGAGGATGGCCCTGTCATCCTGTTAGCTTTCCAGCGGGAATTTGCGAGCCTAATCGTATTCATAAAATACTTCGATACCGGTCCCAGTTGTCCTTTTTAACGGGCAGCATTGCGCGCGAAAATTGTCTTAAATATTTCATAATAGGGTAATTAACAAAGTATTTTTTTTTTATTCTATCATTACAGGTGATGCGAGTAATACGAGCATCGGTAGCGGGGAAGGAACGGGGGAGGAGGATGACGATTCCAACGGTAAAAAGAACCAGAAAAAGCGTGGTATATTTCCTAAGGTGGCAACTAATATTCTAAGAGCGTGGCTGTTTCAACATCTAACGGTGAGTCATTGTTCCTATTTACTTTACGGTATTGGTTTCGTTACTCGTTTCTCATCAAACAAGGAGTTGAAGATGATATCTTCGTCCTTTGGCTTGGATTATTGACATAATCCAATGTTACTGTTGGGCCATTATGTGATTGAATCTGCGGGAATAATTGTTTGACTTTAATATGTTTCAATCGACAATATTTGCTCTATGACAAACGAAATGCGATCCTTTATCAATGCTTAACTGAAGGCAGATAATTGCGTTAGGGTTAATCCAAAAAATTTCAACTGGAACAGCGATAGAAAGTATTTCGGTACAAACTTCTGCAGGATTATGAATACTTATAAACCTATAGTCAAAATACACTGAGTTTTTGTTATGACTAATGCAGTACTTCGCATTCTTTCTGACAGCGCTCATCAGCAAACCAAACCTAACCAAATCAACATTTGTTTTACTGTATACACAAAACTTGATATTTGGCAAACATCTGACCTATTAAAAACCCTCATTAACCTATTAGGGTGGTAAAAATATTGATTTTGCTCCACCCTACTCAATCGACACAAAATCAGGTCCTGATCATTGTCCTAAAATTTGAGCACATGTGGTTTTGAACTCGTACTGCACTATGATCTTTGAAGTTTATATGAAAATTACTAAGGCAAAAGTTTAATTTTTGTATGCATCGTCCTAGATCTTCGTCATAATTGGTCGCTGTTAAGTCAGAGCGGACTAAGTGACATTTGTTTTCATTCTGTGAAAAACGAATTTAAAGTTGGCTTAGAATCATTGTTTCTTCTGTAATGGTACAACCCGTTTGGCTTTTTTCCCTTGCTGTATGTAACATTTACCAAATCTGACAAAAGTGAGATGCTGCTCAGAAAATAATATCAGAAAGTTATAAACTTGGACAGCAATTAATAACCCATTTTAGTGACGTCCAATCATAAAGTGGTGTTGAGCAATGTGTACAAACTGGCAAACTGGGAACATTTTGCATTAGTACAGACAGCAATATTTTCCGTACAATTATGGCGAAGGGATAGGACGATGAGTACAAAAATTTAACTTTTCCCATGGTAATTCTCATATAAACTTCGAAGGGCCAGTGCAGTACGAGTTCCCATCCAAATGAGCTTATCTTTTGGGAGAGTTACCAGAAACTAATTTGGTAACGATTTAGTGGGGTACAACACAATCGATATTTGAACTACCCTAGTACCTATTCTTTTCAGTTTAATTTTTTTTTCGCCATTTCGTCATTTCTTGACCGATTTAGATCAAACAACAGAAATTTGTTCTAGTTTTAAGTTTTATAGTAGTAGAGAAATTTTAGTGCCAAAATTAAAAAAAAAACCTTTAAAAATTGATCTGACATAAAAAAAAACTGTTGGGTAATTTATAAATAAATCTAAAATTACCCATTGCAATAAAAATCAATTTCGACCGTTTGGAAGTAGTTTTATCAAAATCGGTCAATAAATGACGAAATAGAAGCAGTATCTAAATTTTTAGTTGGAAATGTTAACACATTATTTTATTTAGGATAAATAAATAAGGTCTATGAGAAACAAATCAAGGAAAACAAATTGAAGTTTTAAAATTTGAAACAAGGTAAATTTTTGAAAAAGTGCATAGACACATATTAATTAAACTGGTTTTATGTAATTTATGTTTTCTTTACCATTACCTAATTACCTAATCTAAACTTACCGTGTGTTTTTTAAGGCATCTGTTTTCCTATAACTTTGTCATCTAGAGAAGGCTACATTTACTACCGACTGGCTAAGACAAGTTCAGCAGAGTCAAACGGACTGTCAAAATATGGAGCATACAAGACACACATTAAGATAGTAGCGTATTGAAATCACTTCGCATTGCTTCAACAAAAAGTTTCATAGACCTGTGTTTTATATTATTATTACATTACAGTTATTGAAATCAATAACTATAACAGAAATATTTGAAACAACGCGTTATTAAAAACCAATTGGCAACCGATTTTAGCTTCTTTTCTGTTTAAAAAAAAACTAAACATTCCACAAGAATAACAGAAATATAAAAGAAGTCAATCTATGTGTAAACACTTGCAAGTGTTGCTTGCATTGAATGTAAAAAAATACTGGTGCTGCTGGATTCCCATGAAACTTTGCATAATTGTTCGCTATGTGCAACCATTGAATTGCAATTCAACCCGCATTTCATTTCCTAAAATGGCTTATTAGTTATTTTTTTTAAATCACAGCATGAAAACTTGATGTCTAACGATATGTCTGAGACAATGTTGCATGAACATAAGATGGCCTTTTCTGAAGAAAAGAAAAAAAACACACAGTAAAAATAATTTAAAAAAAAATTGTCAATAAAATCAACAACAAAAAGTGATAAACGTATAAAGCGTATTTTAAATATCTTTAAACATATTCCTATTTCAAAGCTCATGAGAAAAGGAAAATTTTCAAAATGGACACTTTAAAATTGCAAAAATATCGGGTTCACATTAAAATAAACAACTACACTGATTAAACTACAACAGGATAAAGCGTATTTTTAATATGTTTAAACTTGTCTATTTTAAAGCTAATCAAAAATGAATTCTTGCCTAAAATTCTCTTAATGGACACATAGATTTTTTTATTAAAATGTTGAAACTTGTTGTACTGCAAAATGTATTGTTATTAAATTATGTAAGATTTATGCTAAAAAAGTACCAAAATTTTACAAAAAATTTATGTTTTACGATTATTGTATCCAACAAGCGTGCATTTGAAAATTTCAGAAGAATTTGCATTTTTGATGACTTTTTGAGAAATAAAAGTTTGAAATCATTAACATACGTATAATTGCGTCCCATCACTTCCTACTGCACATATACTCCATGAATAGAGCTGAACGTTGTTATCAATTATGTCCCAGACAAAATTTAATTATTTTGCTATTGAAATTACCGTTTTTGTAAGCCTTCTTATCGTTGTCGAAGCGATGTCGATATTAGTTAAATAAATCGTGATGAACACTAGTATCAGTTGGTTGATGCTAAACCGAAGAACACTCTTGCCCACATCGTAGAATCAACATAACCCGAGCAGGAACGAATATTTTTATACCTTGATCCATACCTTGGTATGGATGAGCCTGACATAAGAGGTAAAATACCAAAAAAACTGTTCCCACAATACCATTCCAATACCAAATTTTGATAATGCAATACCAATCAATAGCACACAGGTATTTTTTTGGTATCCAAATATCCATTTTTATTATTTACAAACACACTAAGAAATAACTAATTTTACACGTGACGGAATCCATCTTTGACATAAAATATTAAATATAAACAAACATGACATGTAATATTAAGTGCTCCGAGACTAAAAGGTTTGTTGCTCGACGAAAAGTACGTTTAATTCGCGTCTGTTATGACTCAAGTTTATGTCAAAATTGACGCTCGTATATGTCACTCTCAGAGCACCTAAATTTACATGATTTTTTTCTATGTGTGAAGTATTTTGCATGCAATGTTTTGGTATTTTACCTCTTATGTCATGCTGATCAACACCAAATTTTGGTATCAGGTCAGAATTAGGTATTCATTAGGTATGTTCTCCTGCTCTGGAAATGAACACGTTCATTATGCAAGCAAGACTAGGTCATACAATTTTTTACCTATACTATCAAACTTTACATAAAATACAAAAGTCATTAGTTCCATTTTGTTCTCATTGTTACGTAACGTAAAGCTTTACGTAATTTATAGACACGGAAAGGTAGCAGATGTTTTCAAGCACATGAAACTGTCAAAGTTTGCAAAGAAATATCTGGTTTGGCAAGCCATCTGTACCTGTGGCTTGAAAAGCAGCATTTTCATAGCTTCCGGGACTGTCAACCAAGAAATTTACGTGAAAGAGTGTTTGAATAAACGTCTGCTGCCTTTCCTGAAGAAACACGGTTGTTCCGTACTGTTTTGGCCGGATTTGGCATCTTGCCATTACGGTAAAAAGGCCATGGAGTGGTACGCCGCCAACAACGTGCAGGTGGTTCCCAAGGACAAGAATCCTCCCAACACGCCAGAGCTCCGCCCAATTGAGAAATACTGGGCTATTGTCAAGCGGAACCTAAAGAAGACCAAAAAAACTGCTAAGGGCGAGCAGCAGTTCAAGGCAAACTGGCTTTCTGCGGCGAAGAAGGTGGACAAGGTGGCTGTACAAAATCTGATGGCAGGGGTCAAGCGTAAGGCCCGGCAATTCGGATTTGGAAAAGCGGAAGCCTAACTGAATATTTTTCCTGAATTTTATACTAATTGAACTTGAAAAAGAAATTTAATTTGATTTTTTAAATAAACGATTTCACCGATTTACACGCGTTTTCCCTTGACCAAATTTTGACCGTATCACCCTTTAAATTAGTCCTTCTCACAGGAAAAAAATCACAAGAATAGAATGGAATTGATTTCAGCTTGTGCAAGATAGTACTAGTTGGAGTTTTTGGCGAATTTCCCATAAACACCCTTCAAATTTGTGAAACTTTTAAATATTTTAATCTCTATGATAAAAATAAGCCTAATTTGATATTCAAAAATCAAATTAGTTTCTTGTACATACAAATGTACCATTCGTACATTTTTTTTCTTCCTTTATTTAGGAGGTTTTTAGCCGTAGGCTAGTTCACCTCCGTTCATTTTTACATGTACATATGTGTCACCAATTTCCATATTTAAAATAAATAATGTTTATTTTCAACGAGGCATATAGTGCCTTCAGGAGAAAAATCTCAAAAATTAATTTGGATTAACCATATTAACTTTAGTTTCATCATAACGATTAAAATAAGAGTAATTGTGACAAAATATGGGATTTTGGAACAAAAATTGCCTAAGCCCCAACTTTTCCTGAGATTTCCGCCTGTAAGAACGGTTATAGTAGATCAAGCTTCTTCAGCTAGTAGAATAGTTATTAAATGTTGCAGTTTGCACGGGTGGGTGTATGTACTGAATTATTCGAAGCAAC